CGACTCGATCGTCTCCCTGTATAGCGTTTCGAAGCTCCAACATGGCGGCGGAAGAGTAATCGAGCCCCTCGATTTCGAGATCCACTGGCGCGAGCGTAATTTCTATAGACTTTGAAACTGGTTCTTCTACTCTCATTATGCCCCGAGTGTTCGACGTATTAAGAGAACCCTTTGAAACGGTGGAACGGTTCGCGGATATTCTTTCATGAAAATTTACTAGCCGCCGAATAATATTTTCGCACGATTTCATCGCTTCGTTTAGTGACGATCATTCGCGTATTCATAGCCCGTGAAAATGTTCATGGAATTGTAAAATAGACCACAGCTATATTTTTACTTCTGCAATCCCGTTATTAAACGGCCGATCTTCATGCTAAATCGGAACTTTCCATAACGGTTACGGAAGATATAAGTTAAATATTCGGTCGTTCAGAAAGTTGTTTCGTTCTTTCATGAGAAAATGAAAGAAGATTATCGAATGATTAAAGTAAAACAGCGAAACACCTTTTGACATTTTTCTGATGGCTTCGAAGCCTTATGCTCATAGAAATCCTGTGTTTTAATGGCAAAATACTGTATCAAAGTGTTTTTTTAACATCATTATAAAATGAAATTTTTGTGTGAAACGAAATAATTTTTTAATGGACTCAACAGAAAGTTGCTTCTTTTTTTTTTAGTAATTTTAATGATACAGCAGCATTCCAATGCTCATTTAATACTTTCATTATTTCGTGTTCCACATTTTCGTTTCTGCTATAATTGAAATACGATCCACAGTCTAATTGTTGTGGTCAGAAAATAATGTTGCATACAGTCGAGTACTTCGGTCAACGTGATTTTATATTTGACAAGGGTGTATGAGAATCGTAAACAATTTATTAATTAATTTCTAACATAGAATACAATAGAACTGAAGACACTATTCAATCGTCACTTTAAAATTGAACACATTTTCCATTTACTGAGATTGTTTTGATTTTACAATATGTTTTATTCGTGTTTTATACTAATATTTTGTCTTGTATTATACGAGAAAATTAAAGAAGTATAGTAAATTCTTCCTAATTGACGCTCGGATTGCACACAAATATGGACAATTTGGAAAGTGGAGATACGATTACTCGAGTCTCTCTCCTCTTCCCAAATTGTCCATTTTTGTGCACAATCTGAGCGCCAATTAGGGAGAATTTACTGTACTCGGATTAATTTGAACTTTCTATTTCCAGTTTCCTCGCAAACTACTCTGAACTTATGAATAGAGTGCGCATCTTTATGCAAATTTTGTTTCTGTTTAATCATTTCAATAACTTCTAATTAATGCATCAACGTTCTCAGTTTGTTTGAGAGTGTTCCCAAATCTTCGTAAATGATATTTAATCATTTTTGCCACGAGTGCATAAAATCCGCAGTCTACTTATGAAATTTCTTGGGACCGCTATTTAGCAGTGAACGTGTTAGTCCGTCTAACCGCCGCAGTTTAATTGCGAGAACTCGCGGAGACTAGAATTTTTTTTGTTTTGAAAATGCCACTGGAAACCTATCGATCATCGCCGCCGGGTTGCAGAGATTTTTATCTGCCAACCTGTACACCGGATAACTGTATATCTCGGTGAACCGGAAGTTTCTACAAACAGCCGCGGAGAGGACCAGAGTTAACAAGTGTCACTTGAAACTCAAACTCGTTCTCGAACTCCGAGTACCCGCTCGCCTCCCCTCTAATTCTATATAATAGACGCTGCCGACAATCCAATCGAAAATTTTCTGAAAGCTTTATCGGCCGGAGACTTCAAAAGCTCGTTGCACGTTGTTAGCCTCTCCCCCGGCTTCAAGAGGGATCGAAGGCAAAGTTTCCGAACCCGTAAACGTGGCGGACATTATTCGATTAATCCTGCGAATTTATTTCGCGAATCGTATTATTAATACGGCGGCATACTAATTTGTTTCGACGATATTTTTCTGCTAAGCACGCGAATGCTATACTTATATGCATTGAATTTATTGTTATACTATTATTATTATTTGCTGTATTGATGATGATGAAACAATGAAACAATGGAAAATTGAAACAATGCGAAATATACCATGCACGAGGAGAAACAGGAATAAGGAGAGGCAAAGCGGGAAGCGCAAATAACTTTTTACTCGAATAATTCGAAGAAGTAATAAGGAGAAGAAATAGATTCTTATTCGAATAAATTTCTATCTACGTCAATTTTTATTCGACTGATTATGTTTATTCGGTAGCGTCGAATAAAATTTTATTTCAGCCGAATAAAATTTTGCCCAACTCCGGTCCACGTTCTCGAATATTATCCGGATTAAGGACGACTTCGAGATAGCACTGAAGTTTGAAGATCGCATAATTCAAGCTGTTGAACCACGGCCAGGTAGAGCACTCGACAAAATTACGATTGCGTATGAGAAAGTTCGGCCGAAAGGGGCAGGGACTATTAAAAAACTTGCGACAGAGAGAAAAGAACGAGTTGGAGCGTTCCTAATCTTACGAGGACAGTAAAAATCAAGGCGTGGGAGAGGATGATTGAATCCATGCTCGGGGCCGCGGCGCTAAAGAAAAGTTTTATGAGGTGTGGCCAGGACCCGGGGCATTCTTGGTCGATGCTGCCGACGTTGCCCTCCTTTCCTTTTCGCGGGAGCAAAGGCGACATCCTGGTGATAACCAGATCCCGTGGGTCTCCGCAGGAAAGTGACCCTGTATTATGCGAAAGACCACCGGCTCCAAGGATCCCACGGGGTGCTGCATCTACCCGCGACTCTTGCGCCACACGGAAAACATCCCCCAACTTCACTTATCGTGTTCGCCACTCCGATATGACGAACAGTCCCCCCCGCAATCTCGTTTCGCTCTTCTCGCTGTGATAAAGCTGGCGTTGCTTATGCAAAGGAATAGCCGAGGAATATCCCCGCGCCGGGATCCCCGACCAAACATAATTCCCGGTTTCATTTTTCGAGGATAAAATTTTCGATAAAATTACGAGATGTTCAACCCTTTTGCTCTCGGACGTCGCTTGACATTATGGCACGTCGCATTTGAAACATCACGTTGGAAACATCACATTCGAAATATTTTTACAACAATACCTTTTAAGATATCACAGTCGAAATATCACTGTAAAATCATCGATTTTGAAACATCACATCGTTCGAGACGTTGCTTTAAAAACATCGCATTTGGAACATTACTTTAAAAAATATCACTTTAAGTACATCACATTTGAAACATTACTTTAAAAACATCACATTCGAAACGTTACTTTTAAAATAACATACTCGAGACATCACTTTAAAAAAACATCACGTTCGAAATATTACTTTCTAACAGTACTTTTAAAATATCACATTCGAAATATTACTTTCGAAAACATCAGTTTTCAAATATCACATTCGAAACATTACTTTGAAAACATCAATTTTCAAATATCACAGTCGAAACATCACTTTTAAAACTTTTGCACTCGGATGTCCTCTCCCTGTTGACAATTATGACATTTCAAGAACTGCAAATTTCTTGGTTCGTCTCAATGCGATCTTACATCGAAGTCTATTTAACCCGAGAAAGATAACCTACGTCGCAGAGGCGCCTGCGAAGACTGTTGATTTTTGTTAATTTTTCATAGAGGTCTAGTGATTTAAGTTTAAAATTACTTAAAATATAAAAAAATATAATATAAATGCATTTTATTTTTACAATAATGCCAAACCTTTAAAATGACTAGATTAACTTAAATAAATATCCATTGTTAGTATAAAATTGACGCCTTAGAAAAGCATGCGCCTCTGAAGCGTGTGGTTATCT